AGTATTGGAGGTGGCACCAATTATTTATTAAAATAATTCTGAGATGGTCCAACTCTTGTCTGGATATTTTAAGTCAGTTCAGACCAATTTAGAATCATGCTTTGCCATGAACACAGTGCTACAAAAAGAACAAGTGTTCAGCCAAATTACCATGAGAATTTGGCATGTGTTTCAAATACCAAACAAGTTTATACCACTCAAATTGAGAAGCAGTGAAACATTTTTGTCAATTTGTGAATTTTGGTAAAGAAGCAACACATTTTGTGCTTAACTAATGAAACTCACCAAGATTAAGAGGTGAAATGTTAAAGAAAAGATTTGTGAAGCGAATTTACAGCAATCACTTCATAATTTATCTGGCCACTCAATCCAGACTACAGTTAGTGGTGCTGTTAATATTCATACTGGGAAACAACTTTTGTACCACAGCAGAATTGACTAGTAAGCAGATAGTGGCATTCCAACAAAATATGCCATGATGTAGCAAGCTGCCATGACAAATTTCAATGTTTTTAGTATGATATAAACAAGCTGAACGGAGATTATGGCTCTTTTAAAAATTAAAAGTGGGGATGATGCCAAGATGTCCCAAACCTTCTGAACAGGTACATAAATATCATTGCAGCAACTGAACTAGGAATAAGGACTAAACAAGTGGCCACAGACAGACCAAATTTTCTTTTTTTTTTTGAAAAGAGGTGACCAAGATCAAGCTCCAGCTCCCTGTGTCAGGTTTTTTGCTGTTTGATGCAAGGTAAGAAATTTCTTTTTAAGAAAAAATTGAGAATGCAAAAATATTTGTACACACATTGCAAACTCAAAGTTTCTTCTTCAATACCCACTGGCAACAAAAAACAATGCTATGAAGCAGAATATCACCACATCTGAATAACACATTTATAAACTGTTATTAAAGTACAAGTGATGCTCTGCATTGTTTCTGGAGAATGAAGGGCCTTTTTAAGAGTTCCTTTTACAGCACACAAAGGGCTAATTATGGTTTTATATCCAATTATGTTTTGAACACACTATTGCCCAGTCTCAACTTCTGAAGCACTTTTAAAGATTAAGAATTGGAAACATTTTAAAAGTTGACTAAAAATTAGTTGAGAGCAAGCACTAATATGAAGTCTTAAATTGTCCCAGCATAATGATCAATTTTTGACAACACAATTCTGCAGAGAACTGTAACCACAACTACTTAGTGTCAGAGGGTCATACAGCATAGAAACAGGCCCTTTGATCCAACCAGTCCATGCCAAACATAATCCCAAACTAAACTAGTCCCACCTGCCATGAATGCCAAAATAGTGAAAATTTACTGGCTCTTCTAATTATACTTGATTCCATCTCAACCTTAAAAAGACAAAGTACTAAAAGAGTACTAAAAAATGACAACAATGTCCATTTGTATCTACCTGGTCGGAGAATAGCTAGCAACTTTAAACAATAACTATGAAAGCATAAAGGGAGTTAATGTTTTGAGTTGATTTTAGCTTCTTCAGAGCTAAGAGATAATAAAAAACATGATGCGTTTATGCTGTTAAAAAGGGAAGGATGAACAAAAATTGAATAATTCTCAAAATAAGAGAGGATATTTTAATATGCAGAGCTTTCTTCAAGACTTTTAGTTGTCCGAGATTTGGATAGAGTAGAGTGCAGGAAAGATAAAATGACAAAGATGTCTTGGAACAAAAAGGCAAAGGAAGTGGCTATGATTTAGTACAATGTCAAAGCATTTGTCCAGAAAAAAAAAAATGAGGAAAGTAAACACACGAGAAACAAGATTCAAGCCAGCACATACCAAAAATGAATCAAAAAGCAGGGACAAGTTCAACAATTTCAAATTGTAAACTCTACGTGGAGTCCAGATGGAGCTATAAGATGCCAGACTGAAAGAGGAAATACTTTCCTCAAACTAGTCAGGAGCTTCAATGGAAAATTGCAAAACGCTGAAGACAGATATACGAACAGGAGAGCGAGGTGGCAAATTAACATGACAATCAGAAACTCAGACCCATGCTTGCAGAATGAACAGAAGTGTTCAGCACAGTAGTCACCCTGCCTGCATTTGGTCTCTGCAGGGTAGAGATGACTACAGTCTGATCAGGAAGTGATGTATACTAAATTGGAAGTAGTACATTTAATTTATTTATCGGTTCTATGTCCTAGCACAACTCACTGATTACAAACATGTTCTTTGAATTCTTCATACTAAACAGAACACAAGCCATACCTAAGTAACCTGCTCGAGTATTACTGGGAATGAACACATTTTGTTAAAGCTTTTCGTCTAACCTGCATCAGGACATTTCGCAAGAATACCAGTTCAAGGAAAAGATTCGAATGGCATAGCGGTACTTCTGGGCCAGGAATCTGGATTCAAGACCCAGAGGTGTACACTAACATCTTTGAACAGGTGAATTAGAAATTATTTCCCAGTTCATTGAGTAAAATCAAAATTTGTACTGCATTAGATAGTACTGATTGATTGGCAAGTGGATTCTGATTGGTAGAAGTGTTGCCATGGGAGAATGGAATCATTAATGACAGTTATCGGCGTTGTTTAAATTTTAAACCAGACAGCTCGACTTTGATTGTCATGGCATTACATCCAGAAATTTACCAGCTATTTGCTGTTACCTATTTTGTTGAATTGAAACTGGCACTGAGCATGAAGTATTCTTTCATCAGTAAAGAACAGGGTCCCATGTATTAATATATGGAACTTTCAGTACACGTAATTGCACCACACTGCAAGTCTGACTGACAATCATAATTTGGTTGTCATTGTAAATCTTTGTACAACAAAAGAAAAATGTTCAAGCCTCACACAATTTTAAAATTTTCTAAGCGTTTAGGGAACAGTGTTACTAGGTGCTTTCTGTATGACAATTCTTGATTTAGAGTCGACTTGCCAACTAATCAGCACTCTTTCTTCCTTTGATACAAGTTGTTGTTATGTTTGAAATTTGGCATTGTTGTCTTCCATGCATTAGGACAAATGCAAAGGGTTTCATCAAAATGGCACTTAGTTCAAGCAATATTCAAGTTTTGCATTTGCAAACTATAAATAAATTGCTTATTCACTTAGGATTGAGAGGGCTCTTTGGCAGTAAGGGTAGAGATGGTAAAAGGCCAGGTGTTACAAACTGTTACAATTGCACGTGAGAAGTGGATGAAGTGTTGAGCATGATGGAGGAGTGGACACTGCAGAGAGAACAAAACCTTCAGAATGCTGACAGTAGAGAGGAGGATCTATTTGGTGATAGCAGAAATGGCAAAGCATAATCCTTTGAATATGAAAGTTGGTGGATGGAAAGAGGACAACAGGAATCTATTATCCTCTGGGAAAGAGGTGACCGTAGAAGTGCAGGAAATAGGTTAGGCATGGTTGAGGTCACAACAAACCACAGTGGCTGGCTGGCTAATGGGGAGAAGCCTTGCTCGAGGAAAAGGTAGACATACCAGAGATGTTGTTGGTGGAAGCCTTCATCATCAGACGTGACAGAAAAAAACTGGCAAGGTATGAGTAAGTGCAGTCAAGTAAGCTGAGTGTCGGTGGGGTCACAATGAATATTAGGAGATAGCCAGAGAGAAGTCGAGGAAGGGAAATGTCAGAGACGGACCATATTAAGACATGTCTGGATGCTAGAAGTAAAGTTTAAGTTTTTCTGTTCCAGAGAAGCGTAGGAAACAGCTCCGATACACAAATCTGCCTTTTGTTCCATGATTTCTTTGTCTTTGAATCTCCCACCCTCACCCCTTATTTTCCCCCATTTACATCGACACAGGTTGCTTCCTTAAGTTCATGTTCAACATTACTCTCTCTCGCCACAGATGTTGCCAGACGTGCTCTGTCCAGCACTGTTTCCATTTCAGATTTACACCATCCGCAGTATTTGCTTTTCTTTACGTTAACCGTACTACCTTCCTCGCGGATACAACCCGCCCTGCGGGCCATTGCCAACTTACTCCCTGATTATTCCAGTTGCAGTTTCAACTCCTAACGAAGACAAGAATAAGCCAACAAACACAACAGTGATAGTAGGAACTGCAGATGCTGGAGAATCTGAGATAACAAGGTGTGGAGCTGGATGAACACAGCAGGCCAAGCAGCATCAGAGGAGCAGGAAGGCTGACGTTTCGGGCCTAGGCATGAGTAAGTGCAGTCAAGTAAGCTGAGTGTCGGTGGGGTCACAATGAATATTAGGAGATAGCCAATCTCCAGAAAGAGAGAGAGAGAAGTCGAGGAAGGGAAATGTCAGAGATGGACCATATTAAGACATGGCCTAGGCCCGAAACGTCAGCCTTCCTGCTCCTCTGATGCTGCTTGGCCTGCTATGTTCATCCAGCTCTACACCTGGTTATCTCGGACACAACAGTGTGCTGATTCAGGACTCGGATGACTTGTTGTCTCGGATGACCACCGGTTCCAGTTCGCCGCGAAACAACCAACACTTTCCGGCAGGAGGCGCTTGGAGACATCTGCAGACGCGATGTAAAAACTCGGAACAATTAAATACCAGCCAGATAGTTTCGCACCTTGTTTGAAAGGGAACAGGAAAAACCGAGGGTGGTGTAAAATATAGTCCATTATTAAAAGCTATGTATGCAACCATCAAAAAAATCCATCATCATTTGCTACATTAAGAAAAAATAAAGCATCAGAAGTAAACGGATTGCAAAGTAATAAAGCACGCACATTATAATGACTGAAATCACTTTTTAAGCCACTCACCGTTCACTGGCTATAGCTGCAGCTCGTGATCCTACCGACAGTTCCGCGTTTCCATGCAGCTAAACGACAAGGCTATGAAAGCACAAGATGGCCCATGCACCGACTTGCATCATGTGACCAACAGGCGGGAGGCGTGTCCGAGTGCAACGGCCAACGCCGCACAGCTGAGCGAGCGGCACAAGCGCACTACCCTAGGGGCATGCTGGGAGTGTGTCTGGTTACTATGGAGACGACTTGCGGGTGTGTTCGATGAGGGGAAGAGCTGTGCAATCTACCCGGACATGTTTTCATTGGACGCAGAGTTTGAGCGAATGGTTCCTGTTTTATTAATCTTCATTATATTTATTTTGTTCGTACTAAGTAATTTTTTGTTGTTGTACATGATTCCGGTAAATATATACAACCGCTCGCCTCTGACTTTGCGAAGGGGGACGTAAATAAAGTGGAAATTGGATTTCACGTTGTTTATTTCTTCTCAGGTGAGGATCTATCTCCTGTATGGAATTTATGTATAAACCTTTTTTCTGCGATAGCAAAAAATGATTAATGCAGTTGAATGTCCGGACTTTATGTTCCTTTCTAAGACTTGCGAGCACCCCGGTGTTTGTAAAATACTACGGACATCAATGTAAATGACCAATCGTTCAGATTATTGATGCAGGGTTTCGTCAGTTTTGGAGTGGCTTTCTGTGAAGTAACGTGAGACGTTATTACGATTTGAATTAAGATTAATGTCCGGTCGTATTGCATGTTTTTTTAAAGTAATTCATTTTTAGTCCTTTAAATACACTTTTTGAAAACTTAAACTGATCTACTTGAAGGCTATAAGCACACTAATAGGTGTCTAGTTTTGCCTGAGTTTTTTGGGGGATGTTTGCATGACGTGCAGCAAGAATAATATGCAAAATGTGGAAAAATATCGTTTTCTGAGCGATATTAATAAACAAATGTTCACGTGTTTAAACCAAGGTTCAGAAACTAAAATATTAGAATAAAGTAAAAAGCATTCACAGATTTGAAGCGGAGGTGACCATTGAATGATACTTATGTCGTCTTGCAGTGTCAAATAATTATCTCAGATATTCCTAGAATTTCTTTTCGTTTAACTTCAGGTATGACGAATCTAATAATTTGGTTAGCGATTCGAAGTAGGGAGGGTTTATACAGAGCCAAATGTGTATCAGCGAGAGTATCATCTTCGGTTTCCCGAACGTGTTAAGGTTGAGGTGTCATAGACTATATAGAAAGTCTTAACTTTAAATATTACCAAAAAAGTTCTTTAAAAATCTCCCGATGCTTTTTATGGACACCACCGCTTATACCTATATCGATTTTTCAACATTATCATTCTAATCCCCAAGTATAAAACAACCTGGCCTTGCAGTAGTGGCGTTGCGAGTAAATTTAAGTGTCCGCGAATTAATTTCTCCAAATCTCAGAGAACGTTTCACATAATTAAAGATCAGCGTAGAATTTCACAAGATACTAAATATTCTCTACTGCATGACTCCTCGACTAAAGTAAATGTGCCATAGAGGTAAAAATATGTAATCCTAATCCAAAATGTTGAAAGGAAAGGCGTGATGTGAGTTCAAATTCCACCTGCTCCAGAGGTGTGTCATAACATCTCTGAATAGGTTGAATAGAAAAAAATGGAGAATTGGTGGGACTTATGAGTGGAAAGAGCAGTAAGACTGAGTGATTAATTAAGTTTGTCAAAAAAGAAAAGTCTCTTGGTTTCTGTTTCAATGATCCAATGGTTTGGATCTGGATTGACATTGATAGCAGCAGATGATTGCCTAAAGGTGAAGATTGGAAACTGTTATTTTCAGACAGAAGATTGTGCTTGAAGTTTCTTTGGAGTAGAATAGTCCAAACTGGGTGAAAAGTATCTATCTGATTTTCCACCAATGTTTAGCTGAACCTTGCAATTAATGGGAAAAAAATCAAGTGAATATGTGGCTATAGAATATATCTTTACCAAGAAAAAAATCAAGGTATTGCATTGGCACTGTTGCTTTCCAGTAGAATTAAAGTATTCTCTAAGGTAGAGACTCCTAGTGGAGATGGTTTGGAAATTCCACCAACATTTATGGTCAGAATATATACCTAATAAACAGATATGAGGCATTGTCAGATTTTGATAAGTTAAGAAAGTAGAATGCATACCCTATCAAAGAGTACATAACGGAATTTAACAGACTATGTGCAAGTTTGCAATAATTCTACTTGGAGATTGCTAATTCAGTGTAGCCTTAAATTGTTGGTCTTTGCTAAGATATTGAACATGAATTAGTCTCCTGTATTAATTAGAGTCATATGTTCAGGAAAAAAACACACTTTTGGAAACAAACGTCAGAAATCTTAAAATATTCTTTGGAAAGCATTCATTCTTGGTGGCCTGAATGACTCAAGGAAACATTCAACAGTAACACTGAATGGAGGATTAATTGGAGGTGGCAATGTGCAACTGCAGTGTCCAGATATAGATCAAATGTCAATATGAAAGAAGAATAACCCAAAAGGTGCAAGGATAGAGATATCCACCTGCTTCAGTTTTGAGGTTACAGCATTTTGAAGTCCTTAAAATGTGGTGATTCCCTGTAAAGTTGTTGGAGCAGGCCACTTTATCAGTACTGACATTGTCAAATGAAATGCCCTTAATTTTGAGCAGAATGTGTACAAAAAATGGGCTTAAATGAAACTTGACATGGAACATGATAAGACAATTGTTTTGGAAAGTCATTGGATATTCAGTTCACACAATCCATTATTGTATCCCTTTAAAAACCAAAATTCTCTAGTCAAAATCTAAATTCAATTTAAATAAAATTAATTGACATCAGGAGATGTGATGAGAAAATTACTAATTATCTTCAAACTACACTGACAGTTTGATCACCTATCTTCTCTCATGTTCAAAATACTACTAAAGAATGCAGGAATAGTGCCTGATGAATATACTAATCTTGGAAGAGTTCAACAATTAAATCTGACAAACGTAAAACATATAGGACATTATCACAACTCAGAGTGAGCCTCCCATTTGCAACACACTTTAATGAAGTTGTAGCAATAGATTTGAAGGTATGGATTAAGGAAAATAACATTTTTATCTTGCACTTTATAGGCATGAGAATTAGATTTATTGAGTCTACTATAACATATAATAAAGAAAAACAAAACAATATTGGACAAGATAATGGAGAAATTGTTAAGGACTGGACTGGGAACACCAGATACATTCCTAACTGGCAATGGAGAAATTTGCCATTGACGAAATTAGGGATACATAAAAATATGGATATTGTCTCAAGCTCAACTAGGGCCTAGCCAGCAATGCCCACATCCTATGAGTGAATAAAAAAAGTATGTGCCTTTGGAAGACTTTTAAATTCCTTTTTATATCAGCTGCCAGTTTCTTCTCATATTTTCTGTTTGTTTCTCTTATTTGTTTCTTTTTCAATTTCCTTCTGAACCTTGAATAATCCATCCAGTTCTCAATTATATTATCCACCCAATGACTGATGTCAGTGCCTTTCTTCTGCTTTTTTTTTATTCATTTTGTAATCCAGGAAGCACTAACTTTGTTTACCTTTCCCCTTTGTGGGAATATACCTTGACTGTGCATGAACTACCTCTTCTCGAAAGCCAACCCATGATCAGTTACCATTTTGCCTGATAATCTTTGGATTGATCCAGATAAATTACCCACAGAAGTAGGCATTCCCCCCTTTTTTTTTTTAACTTGGATTGCTCCTTGACCTCCTCAGTAATATTCTTAAATCTTGTGGTATAATAATAACTCTCCCTAAATTTCTTCCAACTGACACTTTTCATTTGGTGCATCTCATTCCCAAGAGCCAGGTTTCTCAATGCCTCCTTTCTCATTAAACTGGAAACGTGCTGTTATGGAAAATATTCCTTAACAGGGTCTGGGAACTTTGTTCCTGTCTGCCCTTTACACTACTATCCCAGTCTAAATTAAAAGATTAACGGTCCTTATAACTACTCCATAATTCTCTATAATTTCATCGCAAATTTGTTCCTCCTACATCTTTCATAATAATTGATAAACTGTTGCCTGCAGGAAGCAAAGAAATTGAACCTTTTGCTTCTGCTTCCCTAACCTTAGCCAAATAAATTGTGTTCTCAACCCCATTATGTTCTCAATCTTTTTTTCTTCTTTGAGACTTTGTAGCGTTTGGTACAAATGAGTGGCATGCTGGGCCATTTCAGGAAGCAATTGAGAGTCAACCACATTGCTGTGGGTCTGGAGTCACATGTAGGCCAGACCAGGTGAGGGTGGCAGATTTCCTTCCCTGAAGGACATTAGTTGTACCACTCGCTACAAAGTCTCAAAGAAATGAAACTGGGCAGATCACCTAGCATCGACATAGGCACCGGAAAAGACAACGGCAGAAACAGCCCTGTCGATCCTGCAAAGTCCTTCTCACTAATATATGGGGGTTAGTGCCAAAATTGGGAGAGCTGTTTCACAGACTAGTTAAGCAACAGCCTGACATAGTCATACTCACAGAATCGTACCTTACAGACAATGTCCCAGACACCACCATCACCATCCCTGGATATGTCCTGTCTTACCAGCAGGACAGACCCAGCAGAGGTGGCGGCACAGTGGTATACAGTCAGGAGGGCGTTGCTGTAGGAGTCCTCAACATTGACTCCAGGCCCCATGAAGTCTCATGGCTTCAGGTAAAACATGGGCAAGGAAACCTCGTGCTGATTACCACATGCCGTCCTCCCTCATCTGATGAATCAGTACTCCTTAATGTTGAACAACACTTATAGAAAACACTGAGGATGGCAAGGGCACAAATGTACGCTGGGTGGGGGATTTCAATGTCCACCATTAAGAGTGGCTCAGCAGCATTACTACTGATCGAGCGGATCAGGTCCTAAAAGCTAGACTGGATCTGCGGCAGGTGGTGAGTTAACCAACAAGAGGGAAAAACATACTTAACCTCATCCTTACTAATCTGCCAGCTGCCATTGCATCTCTCCATGACAGTATCGGTAAGAGTGACATTCGCATAGTTCTTGTGGAGACGAAGCCCCGCCTTCACAGTGAGAATAACTTCCATTGTGTTGTGTAGTACTGTCACCATGTTAAATGGGACAGACTTCGCATAGAAATAGCAACTCAAGACTGAGCATCCATGAGGCGCTGTGGGCCATCAACAGCAGCAAAATTGTACTCCAGCACAATCTGTAACCTCATGGCCTGGCATATCCCCCACTGAACCATTACCATCAAGCCAGGGGATCAACCCTGGTTCAATGGAAAGTGTAGGAGGGCATGCCAGGAGCAGAACCAGGCATACCTGAAGATGAGATATCAACCTGGTGAAGCCGCCAAGCAGGACTACTTGCACGCCAAACAGCGAAAGCAGCAAGTGATAGACAGAGCTAAGCGATCCAATAACCAATGGATCAGATCTAAGCTCTGCAGTCCTGC